TGGTCTATTTCTCATTTTTATTTTGATTGATCTTTGAGCCTTAGGAATGATGGGTTTATAATCCAAATGGGTTCATAAACCAAATGGATCAAAATTCAATAAGGAAATGATATTGGGTTGGTAAGCCAACAAGCAATAAATGTAAGGGAAAAAACACATAAACAAAGATCAAGCAAAACCAAATAAAGGAAAGCAAATCAAAATCAGAAAATTTGACAAAACAAAAATAGAAAAGGAAGGGAAAATTGAGAGACAAAAGATTAATTAAAAAAAGAAAAAGATCAGTGGAATCCCTAAAATCCTCCCACAAATTGGAAGATTTTATACCCAAAAATCCTCCCACAAAATAAAATAGCATCAAGAAAAATACAATAAAAGATTCACAATTAAATCAAGATTCTAAGAAAACACCTATAAAAACCCCAAGAAAACATAGCAACAAACAAGAAGTAAAAACGAAACAATTACACAAGAAAAGTGAGCGAAAAAAGCCTTCTTGTTTTTTATTTTTTATTTTTTGGGTTTTGAAATTTTTCGATTTAGTTCTAGGAATTTTGGGAAAGTTTTAGAGAAAACGAGTCTAATTAAAGGAAAGATCAGCTTGAAAGAGTTTTGGGGGTGAATTTTGGTGAGATTCTAGCACCAGTGACTGGCGGCCAACAATGGAAAATGCAGCAGCCGGTGAGATTCCGAAGATCAAAATTTGGAAAAAAAAGGTTTTCTGAGAGAGAAGGAAAGCATTAGCATTAGAGAGGAAAAAAATTGAGGAGAGTGGCTTAGGAATTTTTTTTTTTAAGATAGGGTTTTATATCTTAATGAAACGATGTAGTTTTGATAAGGAGCATTTGGACTTATCAGGCCTGCTTCTTTAGGTTATTGATTGGCAAGCTATCCAAGCCCATCTTGCTTGGATCCTTGGTTGTTTGATTGCAACCTACTTGACAAAACCCATTCTTATATAATTATTTGGTCCACTTACCAGGTATGAGCTTCAACCTTCATAATACTCCTTTTATTTATGTTCATGTTTATTTATTTATTTTTGATGTTAACGTAATAAAATAAAATTTTGTTTTAGGTTATAATTAGGTTAGGATAAAATCCTCACAACCATAATTGGTAGAATAAAATTATAAAAATAAAAATAATAAAGATTTGTAATCATTTAAAAATAAATCTTTTAAATTAAATTTTTAAGGGAAGTTGTAAGGGGCAATTTTTCTTACAATTTTAAAAGAAAAACAATTATGGGACCTTACCATAGGGGTTGGGGGTAATCCCATATTTTTTTTTACCAAAAGGGTTTATTTATAAATAATTAATAAGAACATAAATAAATAAATATTTTAGATTTTGTAAATATAATTTCATAATAAATGGAAGTCCTTCGGTGATGGAATTCCGAGAATGGTATAAGAGATAACTTTCTTGAAAATTTTTAGGTGAGAAAATGTTTCTAAATTTTCCCAAAAAGGTTAGAGAATTTAGGAAGAATTTTCAATATTAAAGGACAGTTTATTTGTAACAATGAATGGGAGAAATAATTAAAGGAAATAAACTAAGATATCAAACTAAATTAATTTATTAAGACTAAAAGAAAACACATAATTAATTAGGTACCATTTTGAATGGGCATTTTGAGGGTGCTAATCCCTTCCACGCATGTAATTATGCTTCTGAATCTAATTAGTTTTGTAGATCGAAACCTATTTTTTTTTAAAGAACTTAAGTCAAGCCTAAGATCTCATTAGAAAAATAGATTTAATTAAGTGGTCAATCGCACCTAAACAAAAAAGATTAATGACAACTCATTTTATCTCAAATAGTTAAGTTTTAGGACTCATACGGTATGACAGACGCTAATGGAAATCTTGACATAATGAATAGAGTACTGAGGCATTAAAACTATATCAGTTTCATTATGATTAACAAATTATTTCAGTTCACATAATCTATAATATTATTTTGCTTGCTTTTAGGGACAGTCTTTTTATTGTTTAATTTCACTATGGTAATGTTTTCCTACAAACAATGAGGATTGAATCAGCACTTCATGCTATACGAAATGTGGAAGGTCTCCTTATGTCAAAGTTCATATGATATCCAATATTCCTCCAGATGATACCCTTAAAGTGAGGGTTAAACCAATAATGCCATACTTGATTGGCATTCTTTCCTCTTTGGGTTTCAAGTAGTACCTTGAATACTTATATTGCACTTATTTCGTACTTAACTTTATGTGTCATTGGTTTCGGGTCAATTTTGAAATCGGCTGTATATCTTAATCTTACACACCTTTAATGTGTAAAAAGAATCAAACTTGGTTTAATGCTGAGTTCTTGAAGTTCTTTGGCACTTTTTATGCACAAATGATTTGATACTTCAGTTTTGTAGATTACATTTAACTTTTTTATCTTTGGTTATGTTAATTTTAATAGTAATATATTATTTTTTTTTTGTGTTAGGATATTTTGATCACTGTGTTTCCAAGTGATTTTGATTTATTTATTTATTTATTTTCTTTGTTTCCATGTTATGAGGTTCATCTCATTGTGTTTTGATAGTTGTAGTGAACGTAAGTATCTGTGCTATTTCTATTGTTATTCTATTGAAGGTATTTAGCTTAAAATTTTTTTTTCAAATTGTTTTGTTAAATATTTTTTGTTAGTTTTGCATCCAAATGTTTGCATGCAATAACTAATGCTTGTCAAAAGGCAGTCTTCAAAACATTAGGAATGTTGATGATTTTGAGAGTTTGATTGAAATTTTGGTGACAAAATAGTATTGTTAGGATTTGATTTTAGACAAGTTTTACCTATCATCCCATCTAGATCAAAAAATTTTGATATATCACTATCTCAAGCATGAAATATTTTGTGTATTTCCTTTGACCAATTAAAATTGCAATCTTTTGGATGGCTTGCATGGTATAACAAAACTATATATATGTAAACTATTGATTTTGGAATTTGCAGGATGATTCATGGTATGCTCCTTAAAGATGGAAAGGCAATTAAGGAAGCATTTACTATTTATGCTGCTTCGGGTTGAGCTAGGTGATGAATCCTGAGACCACGCCTTGGAGATTAAGGAGCTGTATGCTACATATGGAGGCTTCTAAACTATAATTGGGCAGTTGGGAAATCCACCATATACTTGGGGAAGCGAACAATTGATCGGACCAGTTGGCCAAGGCTACTCTGCCACGCACACAACCACTGTTGATGAGGCTGGAGTGATACGGAAACTAGGCAGTATCCGTATGTCATGCTAATATGATGGCTTATGATGAATCATGGTATATGATGTTCTGTATGTTAGGTTACCAAGCATAGTCTGGTACCAAAATGGGCAGTAATTGTACAGTTATATCATCAATTACAGTATAATTTATATATTTTTAGGCAGCTACTTTGTGCAAACAACAAAGGAGGCTCTTATAATAAACTTCTTATTCTTTGCTCTACCCCAATTATCTATATTAGAAGCATATTACTATATCACTAAAAGGTTGACTTTACTGCAAGTTTTATATGTTCTCACCGAAAAGAAAAATGCTAGATATATATTAGCATCTAGTGATATAATTTAATAAGGAATCTGACCACGTTTTGACGTGTTTTGCTTATAGTTTCAAATATATATAACTATTATATCTAAAAGAATTGAAATTTAAGTAAATCAATTAATTGAATTATAAAGAGCATAAAATTGTTAATTTAAAACTATATAAGGGTATTTCAAATGTTATACTAACTTATTAAAAATAGTTCATTTTTCTTATGATTTTCATTGATTCTTCAGCTATAATTTTAAATGACAAACTACAATAAAATCACGAAATATGCTAATTTTAACATTATGTCTTTAATGGTCATTTTCTTTTTTTTCTCATTACATATTTCACAACACAACTATCATTATTTTTACCAAACACATTATCTTCTCACCATTTGCTTCAATCTTATCACATCCCAACTCTCTACCATACCATCAATGCAATCAAATATTTTAAAGTTTTGTATACTTGATTTACGAAACTAAGTATTTCAAACTATATGTTTGAATTTTCTAAACTTACATTGTTTTTAGTAAGGAACCTTCGCGAACTTTGACTTAAAGAACCTTATCAAGTCCCACTCGTATTATTTGATTGTCATCTAGAGTTGACAAGCTAGTGATTCAAGGACTAGTGAAAACGGGGACAAGTTTTGTTTTTTTTTTTAATCAAAAATCAATTTATTAACTACCAAATCAAGGTACAACAACGATAGGACCACAAAGGGTACATAAAATCTAGTCCAAAGTATGACTCCCACACACCAAGCGGACCAAAGAACAAACCCACCAATCATTCTTTCCACAATTTCATCTTGCAAGACCCAACCATGAGCTATTAACATTACCATTCTTTCCACACTTTCACGGTTCAACCCACCACCCATCCCCTTCATAACATTACGAGTAAGTCAAATGGACCGAACGGTGGCACCAAAAAACGATAATCCACCTTCTCCTAGAAGGCCCCCGCCAATCAAATTCATCTCAAAATTTAATTAAAGAGTTCAACAAATTAGAACATACCCATTTTAATCCCACCATCTTAAAACATAACCCCAAACATAACACCAATTTTTCCCAACCATATTAAGCCCCTCAATCTAAAAAAGAAGTGGACTTTAGGAGGAATGCACAATTTCCAAAGAGGAATCTAAGAGTCAAAACAAAGTGCTCAACAGAAAAGCTGCCTTGGGATTTCTTAAGTCAGATCTGGGTTTGTTAAATTACCAGCATCGGAATACTAAGGAGATTGTAAAGAAAGGAGGTTGCTGAGCTGTTTTAGAACTAAGGTGAGTTTCACCGGACAGAAAGAAGGAGGTTAATGGCTTCTTGGATTTCTTAGAATGATGAAGTTTTTGGCATTGCCTATAACATTTTTCCATCAAATGAAGAAGAAACAAAGAAAAGCAAGCAAGCAAGCAAGCAACTAAGCAGCAAAATAAGATAAGGAGACTTAGATTAATTTTAGCAGTGCAATACAACCATTCGATTCCACACCAAAAGCATATGCTGTAGAAAGTTCAAGAAAACCAAATAACTCTAAGAAAATAAAAACGAGAAGGATAAATAAACCGGCAACCATGGAGAAATCCTTGCAGAGCTCCGCAGCAGCCAACAGATCGAGCTAACTGCAAAACATCCCCAGAAAAGTAATAATATAATCAGTCATCGGATAAAAAATGGTTCAAGAAACGAGAAATTCTTTGGGAAATCCACCTGAAAGACTGGGAAACGTAATCAAAGTAAAGCCGCGGTGAGGGCAGCCTCCAGCGAGTTATCATCTAACAGCGGACGAATCACTTCCCTGACATGGGCCATTGACTGGCGAAGCTCTTCCAGGGCTTTCAGCGTTTCTTCCGTTTCTGCCTTCACCTTTGATAAACCTGCTTTCAACCTTTTCAGGTTCTTCTCCTCTTTCTGTTGATCGTTAATTAATTGAATTTGGTAGCAGAAAGAAAAAGAAGAAGAAAACGAAAGCAAGATTTATCAACAAAGAAAGAAAGCAAAGAGAGACAGAACCAAAAACACTACAAAATATGTACCTTCACGACCCTCTTCAACGCATTATTCTTCCTCCTAACGTGTGCCCCCATTTCATTTCTTGGAGCCATGAGATATGAGAGATTCGAGAGAGAAGGTTGCAGTTTGCCCTTTTATAGGTGATGAAAGGAGTTTGATTTCTTGACTTGTTGACGTGCTCATTATGATACTACCAGTGGATGGTCCACAAGCCACAGCACGTAATTAAATAGGTCCTGGGACAAAAGGAGTTCGACGTCAACGCCGCCTATAAGGCAGGAGAAATTCTCCAGAAACTATTATGAATTGATTTAACTATAGGAGATGTGGTTGATTAAGTCCAGTTTTAATTGTCGGATGGGACAATGATACGGACAGGAAACAAAACCAATGACCGTTATCGTTCGGTCGCTATATTTACTCGCGTTAAACACCAAAGAATCGTTCGACTCCGAACGTTGAAAAAATTGACACTCTTTCTCGCTATATTCGACTTATTTATTTATTTTTACTTTCCTATACTCTCTTTATTTTTCAAAGTTTTGTTTCACTTTTCTTGCAGCATATTTTCTTCTACGTTATTGCCACTTGATGACAGCCTTTTCCTTCGTCAATAGTCAGTTGCAATAATTGGCAAAAGATGACACGACACCAATTGTTGATTTCATCACCCACACGTTAAGTTGCATTATTTTACTCGTGCAGCAGGAGAGGACTAAGCTCGTTTGTCTTTACCTACATCCTGAGCGTTGCTTCTTCTATAGGTTCAACAAAGAGGAGTCAATTTTGAAAAAAGAAAAATCCATAAATTAAAATAATAATTTACAAAAATTTAATAAAGTTAATTGTGACACTTAATTTTAAACATTTTATTTTTTGAAAAACCAAACTTTATTCTTTCATTACCAATAGGCCATGCCAAGTCTTCAAACTGCTTGGCAGAAGATTTTAACTAACATGAATGATCCGGCATGGGAAAACATTTGTATATTTACAAAATCTCAACACCAAACAATAAAGAATTGGCAGCAAGCAAACTCCACAAAACCCTAATCCTACACCTAGAAAACCGCATTAGAAATAAACTCAAAAGTACCATTTGCTATCACTAAATATGGACATTTACAGCATCAAGGTCCTAGCAAAAACATGCTTTAAGCATTTCCAAAAGCAGCAGTACTTTTGCCAGTAGCTTTTGAGCACTAGACAGATCCAAAACATAGATTCAAGAATGATAACAACATCCTCGTAAGTCCTCATAGATTCACTCGTCTTTGCATCAAGTTCACAGTTGTCCCTTTTCTCAAAAAGCCTCAGATGTGCAATAGCTATGTGGAAAGCCGAATTCTCGATACAACACATTAAATTAGAAAACAATTCTCCAAAAATAAAATTAGTGGAACGGGGAAATAAAAGAAAAACAACAATGATATTTGGAGAGTCAATTACCTCTAAATTACGTCGTTGGTATACTAAATTAAAAAGAAAAATATGCATAAAGACTGAATTGAAGAACAAACAAATATAAGAATATATATATATGTATAATAAAAAAATGAAATGAATCTAAAAGTGAAGGGTTTACTTGCCCATGGGTGGGTTGACAAATCAATGTTGTTTGCCCATGGCCCCCATTTCCTCAGTTTTCATTTAATCCATCCATGAATATTTTATATTACATATAATGATTTTAATATACATACTCCCCTCAAAGTGTGACATGCATGTTTTTCTTTTCGGAGTTTGACAATAGTAATTTTTGGTTTTTGATGAGGAGGTGTCTATTTTGATAATTTTTTAATAGTTGGAGGGTTTTTATGGTATTGCATTTATATATGGAGGGCATCTTCAGGTTTTGGTTACAAATGGCAGGGGTCTTATGGGTTTTTCCTCCCTCTTTCGTTTTTCAAAGGCTTCAAAAACTTCATGAAGCACCTACCTCTTGGTCTTCTTTATTTTTTGTCTTTCTTCTTTTCTCTCTCATTCAACTGCCTTGGGCTATTTGTTAACTTCTTTTTGTTCTTCTAACTCCATTTTTTAAGCCTCCCAAATGGTTTCCTCTCTTTTTTCTCCTTCTCTCTCACTTTTTTCGCTTAAGGTAGATATGTTCCACTACAGAAATGAGGTTGGTGTTGACACCATCATGGAGGTAATTGTTTTAATAATTTTCCTTAAATAGGCTTGGTTGTTGTCCTTGTTTGTCACTGCATTTATCTATTATTTTTCAAAGGTTTTTATAGCTCAAGGAGTTGAATGAGGTTTTAAAGTATTGCCTTCATGGTCATCTTGGTTTTATAAGGAGGAAGACCTATATCACACAGCAAATATCGGGAAAAGTTAATCCCAACAAACTCATGCAAGTTAGTACTTAATAAAGGAATAATAGTATAAATTGCTTATCAAACCCAAGAAACACAAACTCTTTATTATCTTTGTTTATAATTTTCCAATGTTGAGACAAAACTAGCTTGAGTTTTGCTATTTTATTTGACTAAGATTTGGACAAGCGTCCATTTTGCGTCGTTGTATTGGTTTCATAAGCTAGAGTCTTTATTGCTGCTACATGTCCTTGAACGTGTAACCATTGCATGCTTATCTTAATCCTGTGATAAACACTTGGTAGATTTGTACAAATGTTAACCATGCATCTACTGTATATATTCATGTATCTTTCTTTAGTTAATGAATATGATCAAATTTAACCAAGTTCTTCTATTTTAATTTCCTTTACTTTTCTTCTCTGTATGCATGATACTTCTATTGTGAATTAACCATATCATGGTATCAAAGCACATAATCAATCCTTGAGCTACTTAAAATACTTACAAACAATCTTAAAATCTCATCTTTTTATCTACCATAACCCAACTTCTTTTCAAACAATGTCAACTTCAATCTCAATTGTTACACAGTACACACCACCTTCATTCGATGGTTCAAACTATGCTATTTGGGCTGTAAAAATGAAAGCATTTCTCAAAGGTGTTAATCTTTGGAATGCTGTTGAGTTTGAGACTAAATTACTAGTGTTGAAGGAGAATACTACACAGGTACAAGTGAAGCAACATGAAGAAGACATTGCAAAGAGATATAGAACTCTATCTTTCATACATTTAGTTGTGTCTGAATCAGTTTTCAATAGAATAATGGGATGTGAGACTGTAAACCAAGCTTAGAGTAAGCTTGAGAAGGAGTTTTTGGGGTTTATAAGAAGCAAACAGGTGCATTTGCAAAATCTCAAAAAGAAATATGAGCTTCTGAGAATGAAAGAGAATCAGATAGTAGGTGAATTTGTTGAAGATTTGAGGAAACTGGTAAACTAGATCAAATTTACGGGAGACTCTCTTACTGACTTATGATAACTCAATTATATAGAGTTATTTTGACTCATTTTGGAAGTTTAAGTAGCTAGATCTTTGAGATTTTAGGTTTGAATTTTAGCATTTTAGATGTTTTTTTAGTTTAAGTTTGATTACTTGTTAAGTGATTAATTTAAGTTATTTTAGTTAAATTTTAAGTTTTATTTTAAATTACTTTAAGAGTAGTTATTGCTAATTTCTCTTATGGTTTTTGTAAGAAATTGATGAAAAAGACTCATTTGATGAAAATCAGTGCAAGTATGGTGATAGCTTCATTCGTATATGTTTTAGTATTTTGACCATATCTCTTTCTAAAAAACTCCAAATGAGGTGATTCTTAGACCAATCGAATTACAAGAAGAAGGGATACAATGTTTATGTTCACCAATTGGCCCAGTTCTGATTGGATCATGGTCAAAATATTTATCAAAGTCGGACCACTGCAGCAGTATGTAAAGACTGAACATGATGCGGTATTTGGAGCAAATCTTTCAATCCAGAAGTCCATTTGATGTGATTCTTAATCCATTAGAAAGTTAAGAGACAGGGATAAAACTTTTATATTTACTACTTTGCCCAGTTCCTAACATATCAGGGTGAAACTCACGTTTGAAGTTGATAGACTGCCACAGGCTGGAGAAAGGCTGCCGCGTTGATGAAAGGAAGCACACAAACAAATTCCAGAGAGCTCAGCGCTGCAGCGCTGGAAAAGTAGCGCCGCAGCGCTGCGCGACTTTCCTAAAAATAAGGAAAGTTAACGAGATTTCGAAAATTAGGTTATTTGGAGCCTATTTAAGGAGCCTTTTTCAGAGATTTTTGAGAGGAGGCAGCAAGCAACTATTCTGGAGATTTGGAGCCAAGAACAAAGTAAGGAAACAAGAGAATTGGAGAGAGAATCAAGATCACAAATCTCTAACTATTAGTTTTCTCTCTTACCTTTGTGTTTTTCTTATTTTCTTTGACTTGGATTCATGGCTAATTTCTTTGGATATTGTTTTATTAGTATCTATGAACTAAATTATTTTTCTAGGATTGCATTGAACTCACATGTAATCTAATTTTTAATCTCTTCTTGCTTATTTTCAATGGGATTTGAATTGTTTATTCCAATTGTTCTTAATGCTTTTAATTGCATGGCCACCAATTAATTGATTTAGAAACTAAACAAACTTGGGAAAGGAAGTTTAGATATGACTAAAATTGGGATAGCATATGATCCTATTAATTGATTTGCCTATAGGATAGGGATATACCTATAGGCCATATGTAGCAGATTAGAGTTGAATTGAATGAGTTTATTTTAATTTCAATTCACATAGGGATATAGTGTTTTAGTAAAAATAGATATTTTTATAAGATGAGTCGGGAGACCCTTATAAATAATTTAGGACTCTAGGTTAGCAATTCAACCTATTGAAATAAGTTAAGAAAGAGAGGTAAGATTTAGATGAAGTGTGAGGGATATTGTAATCCTAGGCTTGTTTGATTTGCTGTTTGCCCAATTATCTTATTGTTTAATTTGTAATCAAATTAGTTTTAGTTGCGTAATTTTTAGTTAAATTAGAATTAAGATTTTAATTGTTTGAATAAAACTAAATTGTTTTAATTTAGTACTTAGTAAAATTTTAGATCAATTTCTTATGGGATCGACTCTGCTTCTGCTTGCCTATAACTACTATTCGATACGTATACTTGTATAGTAGAATTTTAACTGACAACTTAATGGTGGTAAAGAAGATTAGGTTGAGCTTACCAAAAAGGTTTGATTCCATGATTACTTTTCTGGAGCAAGTAAAG